CTCCCACCCATATTCGCAGCAACAATTTACGAGGCACACAATTTTTTGTCTCGTGTGGGTACCCACACAATACCGGCTGGCTAGGTGATCACTTGAACTATTGCGCTATCCGTGCCGTCGAAGGCACCTCGTGTCCGTTACTTAGGTTGTAATTGTTGATACTCACGTAGGGTAGAATAAGACTATTATAATATATATGTTATATATTATGTATTATATATGTTATATTGTAAATTGGTATTTTTGAAAAGAACAACTGTTGAGTTTCTTGCCGGTTTCTTCTCAGCAGAAACTGCTTTCTGAACCGGTGGTATCTTACGGAACACTCCACGGCGGTTTTCTTTGAGGTCGTGATACTTACCCGGACGGACCTGTCCATTCGTGCAACAGCCGAAGCTATTTCGTGGCCCTACCACAGTTAAGGTTAGTTAGGGACTCTCCTTTAAATTTCCTTCGTTAATTAAATAAACTCTGTTCAGTTTTCTTCCATTACGTGATAGATAAAATAGACGACATCACAAGTTTAACAACTTATAAAGTTGGTTAATTTAGAGCCAGTAAAAAAATAGTTAATGGCGTTTCTGTGAGCACTTGGCAGCTGCCGTCGAGCGTTGAGTGCTGCTTAATGGCGCACGGCATTCGGGGCCCATTTCGCGGACGTTATAATTCCGCCATTCCGAGTAATTAATTTCGTATCGCATGAGCCGGCCGCTGTCACATAAATTGTAATTTTAATAAAAATCTTTAATGTAACGCAAATCATTTCTAGACGGTAACAAAATCATGACTTAATGGTGTTTTTACACATAAGACATCCTAAAAATACTAGATTACGCGATATTAGCTTTCATCTGGCATTGTTGGTTGGCACAATGAAGGCATATCCAAACGTATGACAAGTTTGGTTGAGTATTACAAGTATATATGCGAGCGATATGATAAATGGTCGGGTTTTATAATAAATTGAATATGTTACTTAAAAGTATCAATTTTTATATAATATTTTAAATGAAAGCGATTCGGTCACTAGGATATCAATGCTGTGCTGAGACTGATTTCACAAATCTAAGAAACACAATATACCTACTCCCTTCCATATTCGGAGCAACAATTTACTAGGCACACAATGTTTTGTCTCGTGTGGGCATCGAACCCACACAATACCGGTTGGCTAGGTTATCACTTGCACATCATCAAGTTTCATTGCTTCTGTACCGAGATTCTTAATCGGACACTCTTGGCAGAGTGGTCGTGGCTGTCGATGGACAGGATTGCGTCTCGTCGTCGCTGTTCGCTTCCAAGGCAGCCGCACGTCTTGCGTTGTTCCTCCATTGGGTACTCCAATGGAGGAACAACGCGTGATACTGAAATAAAAAAGTATTATGAATTAAGAGTAAAATTATAAGAAATAAGCTAGCACCCACACTATGAGCCTTCTAGAACAAACAATAGTAAAATTTTCTAGATGGTCAGAATAAAAAGCGAGATTTTATATTCATCACTTTTGTGGTGGTAGCAATCAAAGGCTTCTATTATTGCATGGATGGTTAGCTAGCCCGTCTGCGTGACCGGCGTAAAATAATAGCATTTATGCTTTTGCTTTTCTTCCGGTGGGATTGAGATATAGAAAAGTTACCTCCTAAATGTTGATCATTGTCCTACGAAACACCTACGAAAACACCAATGGGGTTGTGATAACAATCCCAGGGGTTTGCTTTCTCTAAAAACGGAGAAGCGCGTTCTTCGGCGTTTAAGTAATTTTGCCTTTCCTGAGGACGATATACATAAATATATATATATGTATGTATGTATGTATATTGGTATTCAATGACGTGGCGCGATACACGACGATTAAACGCAAACTGTGTCGACGCCCATCTCGATTGCATTTTAATCGCGTCTGAACTGCGGTTAGTTTATGACTGAAGCAATCGATCCGTGTCGATATCCCCGGAGCCGGTTATGCGGGACATAAATTTACTACATTTTGAAGTGAGCTCTGAATAAATTATCCGCCTCGTTTCCTAATAGGTTGTCGTATACCATCATTATTAAATGTTGCGGGGCGATGATGATAATGATAATCATGTACTAGCTTTGGTGTGATTTGTGATCGACTTTGTTCAATGGATTATGAGTAACCCGACGGTCAAAAATAGTACGATTTTTGTGCTTCTTAAACATATTCAAAACCTGTATTCTTTCGGCACGTTCATGTTCAAGTAAATATTCAACGTTTCAAATGTCTTTTCAAACGTTCTCTACGTTATGCCCGTGACACTATATCGTAAACCAATTGATTGTTGTCTTCGTCGCTTCACGTTGAAACTGATAAACGGATAAATTCCTTATACGAAAACAGGTCAAACATACATATCAACTTCATCAAAAATTACGCAACAGAAGACGGCATCGAATACATCGACTTTTTATTCGGCTGTGTACCTAAAAAATACAGTTTGATGCTATTGAAATGTCGTTTTTTCTGTAAACAATAACGTATTGAATCGAAGCGCACGATTCATTCGAATTTCACTTTAAAAATCCAACGATTATTTCGTGTTCATGGTTTCCGCTCGTTATATAATCATAACGGCAGTGAAAGAAAACAAGGGTTGGAATTGGAACGAATCACGACAAGTATAATTGTAGAAGCGGTGAAGGACAACGCAATATTTGAAAGCCGAGGATATTGAAAGGGATGGTTTCCGCACTTTAACTCGGCCGCGACGATTTTCTTTTTTTAAATCTGAAATATCAATAAGATGTTATCACTCACTAACGGCAGTGTGTATTTTCTACTCGTGTAAAAGTTTGCCGGTGAAATTTATTAAATTTGATCTTAATTTTTTTTTACTTCTATCGTAAGTTCCTTTGCATGTATTGTTCACCAATTTGCGATTGCGCTTCTGTATATATTTTTTAAAACCTTTCGCCCATTTAAACGCGTACCCATTGCGCGCTGTCGCCGTCAAGCGAATTATTTGCATTGTGTCGGAACGCAGGAAAGCTTTTAGCAGCGCCACTGGCGTCCGAGCTCGCCGCTCCAAAATGTTTGGTTTTCGCGTCGGGCGTGTTTGCGCACTCCGCGACCGGTTAAATGTCGCGCCGACGAAATCCCTCATAGCGCACCATCCATTTTTTCGTATCTTTAAAATTGCTAGAATTTTCGATGAGGTTTGACCAGATCTTTTTGCTTATGGACGCTCATAACTTAACTCTCACTTAACTGTGGTGGAGACTCTTAACTGTCTTCGCTGTATGCAACAGCGATGCTTGGTTATTAATGCATAGTTTGGGAAAGTACCCACTTTATACGACCTCAACGAAGACCGGTGTGAAGTGGAAGTGTATATTTCTGCGTTTCGTCTGGTGAGTCAGTTAGCCTGGTCTCGGCTATTTTACTCACCAGATAAGTTACCACCTATATATTAAGGTGACAACGCGTCTGCAACCCTACGAGTATTGCAAATGTCAATGGGCGGCGTTTATCACTTAAATCATGTGAACCGACAGCTCGTTTGCCACGTTCTCACATAAAAAAAAAAACAACGCCTGAATTGTTACCATCTATTTTTCGCAAAAGAGTGTATATTTTTTACTTTACGATCTTCAATAGTCGAGCTGGTCTATTCGAGTGGTGGGAGCCTGTTATGTATGCTGCGTTCGACTACACCAGCGTTCAATTCCTGTTTGTATTTTTGTATTTCTTTCATCCCATCTTTAAGGTTGACATTGATGTATTTGCAACTCGGCTAGAGTGGGTTTATATAAAAATATATAGTTACTACATAAAACTACCCTAGTGCTTCACAACAATACGGAAACGGATGATGTTTAGCGACACGGCCGTAGATGGAAGACGTATCAGCTCATTGACAACCCATTGTCTTTGGATTTAGATCGTTTTATGTTTGAATTTAAACAGATTCTTCGACAAACGTTGTCCTGTACACACGACTTACTCATAAATCCGACAACAACGTATAAATAAAAAAAATTAAAGAATGTAATTGACCGAATTGTGAATTCTAAACCATTCTCGAATCCATTTGAAGACACATAAAAAAATCATTAAAAACGGTCCAGCCGTGTAGGAGGTTTTAATTGACGTACACACGAAGAATCCTTACTTCCTTATTAATATTATAAACGCGAAAGCTTGTGTGTATGGATGGATGTTTGTTACTCTTTGACGCAAATACTACCGAATGGATTTTAATGAAACTTTACAATAATGTAGCTTATACATCAGAATAAGACTTAGGCTATAATTTATATACATATTTTATGTATATCTGTCTTTCTGTCTGAATGTTACGCCTTCAGCCTATTCTACGCAGACGTAGTCGAGGTTATATTTAACCGTTCCAATATTTAGCCGTGCGCGTAATGAATCTAAGGTTGTAACGAACCGTTTTGTTCGCCTGTGGGGAATATCGACGATAAAATTACTGTATATTCAAATCCGGAGCTCTTTACGGCCATTCGTACGCAGTTAGCGTACGATGGGCGCAAAAGGTCGCCTCGTCGCCTGCCGTAGCGCGTCATGTTGCGACTTGGTGCCTGCCGTTGTGAAAGGAGGAGGTTCTCAAAGCGAATAAACGATACTTGGCTGCATCTTTTATCCAGATATTTGAGTCGTTATCGTCAAGTAATCGTCGTAGTTGAATATTATCAATGGAAATGGTGGCAGAATTTGTAACCGTCTGTAATAACTGCGTCGCTGCATTGCATACCCATATTCAGACAAATTCGTGAGTGTATTTCAGATTTACTGAAAATCAAAAATAAACAAAAATTTTAACGAAAAACAAACCGACTTCAAAACAAATTAATACGAAAAAGAAAAGAAATTGCGATTCCTTATACAAATTTATAATCAACATACTTTTTCTACTCATCAAGATGTAAATTACCTATTTCGATAATATAATGTTAGTTACATTTATTGTTACTTTTCGAGTAGGTGTCAGCCAAGGTAACTACATACAAAGTTATAGGTGAGATGTATTTGTGTCGCCCCTCCCACCGGCTGGTACCGCTCGCCTGCACGCCGCCGCCGCGATGGAAAATAGTTTAAAGCCGGCTTTAGCGATTTGGACGCGCGACCGCGCGCACAGCGCGAACGCCCGACGCCCGTCCGATGCAATTTGAATACGCAAATACGTACACACGTACGCGTCAGCCGGCGCGGCCGTATGTACGTATTTACGCGCGCGTACGTCGGGCCACGAAGTCGGTCGCATCGTGTTTCTGATATTGTGATATCAAAACTACGACCTCACAGAAGATCGGCGTAAAGTGGAAGTATAATACTTTCGCGTTTCGTCTGGCGAGTGAGGTGGCCGGAGGCCAATTTTAAAAAGGTTGTCAACGCATCTGCAACCCTCGGGTTTTGCAGATGTCCATGGGCGGCGGTATTCACTTAACATCAGGTGAACCGTTGGCCGCTTGGCGACTTTTCACATAAAAAAAAAACTTGAGGCGACCGACTTACAAAAATCAAAGCTTTGTACTTTTTTATGTAAGGCGATGGCAAGCGAGCTGGCGGTTCCATGGACATTTGCAACACCGGGGGAGATGCAGAGGCTTTGCCACCCTTTATTAAAGTGGGCCCCGTTTACCTCGCTCACCAGACATGCGTCTGCAGGAGTACAGCTCTCCTACTTCACTCCGGTCTTATTTGAGGTAGTGGTACTTCACCGGATCAACCTGCCAATTCGTGCTGAAATAGTCCTTAGCAATTTTCACTTCATAGAAATGCGCAGATTTGATATAAATCTATCCTAATAAATGGAGAGCCGGTTTTTTTGTTCGGTTATACAGCGAGAACTACTGAACTCGTTGAAAAAATACCTATACCATAAGATGCAGCGTGTTTCGGAGAGGGTTTTAGTATGCAAATTATATTTACATATATCATGCAAACTAGCCGAGCCGAGTATTGTTTTAGGAGTTATTTTAATTATTATTCATTATATATTACTTATGTTAAGATGTATTTAATATCTGATATCTATTCTCTTGATATAGTGCAACATTTGAGTCACTTGCCGCACCGTCTTTGTGTAAGGTTGGGAACAAAGCTCAAATGAATAAATAAATTTAATGTGTCATAATATTTCTACAAAACGCTCGCTCACTAGCCGCACAGGCAACAACAAAACCTTTATTGATTCCCTCTCTCCCATCCCCCGCTGAATTGGTAGGTGTGGGCTGTTAGGTACAGCACAGTCCACGGCGTCTATTTGTTTGTTTATACTGTCTCGAGTGACAGACAGATGTCCTTTTTTTTAAATTGTGCTTCGCAAAAAATTTACATTTATCGATTTACGATTCGGGCGCATGCAGCTCCTCCGGGCATCAGGGGGAGTCTCTATCTCTTTTTTATCTAGCTCTGCCAGGCAACAACAGGGAAGTCTATCTCTTTTTTCTGTTTTAACAAATATCCGCGCTCTGTGTAGTTGTGTTTGAATAAGACAAACCCATATACAAACGCTATGATAAATGATCCTAATCAACGATTTGTTGTGATTTCAACGCTTCAACGGCTTCAATAAATCTGTTTAAGAGATTATAATGTGGTTCTTGTTGTTTATCTGCATATGTCGGACTAATAAGAACAATCAAAACGTTGATGATAGGTACATTAGGACGTATAGCAACATAGTCTGTCCTTTCGCTATGGATTATGTTAAGTCTTTAAAACGACAGAATTTTAGAAATAAATGAAGCGAAACACAGTTTTATTAATAACTAGCGAGGGCTTAACACGGGTGTGCCATGTATTATACATATAAACCTTATTCTTGAATCTGGTAAAAAAAAAACCGCATCAAAATCTGTTGCGTAGTTTTAAAGATCTGAGCATTAAAAGGGACAGACAGACAGCGGGACGACTTTATTCTTTTCTATGTAGTTATTATCAATAATTATGGTTGTACAAAAATTGTATCGAATAGGAGTTAAACTAGGCGTGTTGAAAAAGTATCGATATTTATATAATTATCTAAATATTTTTATTTATACTAACACTTTAAGAAAAATATCGATACTTTTTTTCGCTTCGTGCCGGTTATTTGAAACGTTAGTTCACAGTATACGGAAGAAGCACATGGAAATCTTGATGACATGACAAGTTTTGTCATTAAATAAGCGGCTTAGAATATAAGTCGACCAATTCATTTCAGTGTAATAATGTTACAATATTAAATGGATAGAATAGATTGGCCCTCTTTTTTATCATCTTACCGATGCTGCGGTGAGTGGAAGCTAATGAACTGAATAGAACTGGATTTGCCGTTTTCAATCTATCACGACGCCGCATAGAATCAACATCAGCGATACCCTGTGTTATCTTACAACGCAATATTCTATAATAGCTCATCGCTAATCGTCTCTAACGACTCAATACATAGGATCGCAATTAGCATGTCAATATTTTCCGATAACTTGTTACCCTACCGCTTTGAGCTAGTTTTTATAGGTCACGCAAATGAAACGGATTTTCTAGAGTGTTCCTAATGAGATAATCGTTTACATATGCACATGCGTAGTTTATGGTAGATCTCTATTATGCTGATAAAAAAACGTAATTTTTTGCATGAAAGGAAACTAAGGTTTCTTTATTATAAGTTGATTCTTGATTACAGAAATATGGCCAGCAACGGGTGTACAAGTAGCTGTGATTTAAAATAAATTCGAAAAAAATCTCTGTGGGACTGCACGGATTTAACGGAAATTTAAAATGCAGATACGATGCAAATAAATTCAGATCTCATAGAATATTTGCATTTTAAATTCTCAGCATCCGCCATACTACCATCTCGACGCTTTTGTCCCTTCAAATTTTATTTGCCTACAGAATCGCGCGAGATAAGTTCGAAATTGACTATCCTGCATTGTCACGTGAAAGAACATAAATGTTAATTATTTATCAGTTATTTATCATCTAAACAGCATCAGGAATAAGATTATAATTGTTTATATTGACCTACAGATAATTCTTCCGGACCTTTACATTAACCAGGTACTATTACGTTTTTGAAAATGCCTCGAAGTCAAGAGGTTATCTTATCCAACAATAATGTAACGTTACTTTTTTTTTTATTAACTACACTAGCGAACCATATAATAAATAAGATAAGGATCTAAACATATATAGGGACAGACAGACAGACTTTGTTTTATATAATGTAGTGATAATATATTTTCTCAAATATAAAAAGAGTAAGCTCGTGAAATAAATTCTTGATGCCATCCACAAGAATTAAATAAATTCGATCACCGGCGTCGGCACCAATGAAATTGTTGAATTTAAGTAGGTATATATTTATCATGTGCTCAGCTTTGAAGGAGAAAATCGTGAAGAAAGCAGTATATTTTTGAAATAATAAAATATATATATATTTCGAAGATATGTGCAGTCCGTCAATCCGCCGTGGGGTCGCGTGGTGGACATTGCTTTAACATCCTCCATACAGAGTAGGCCTCTGCCCAGCAGAGGGACATACATAGGCTGTTACTTACATTTTACTTTTACTTAAGAATTAAATTGCATACTGTAATTTTTAATTCTAATTGTATGTATGCATACAATTATATTTCATTTTTATCAAGTTCTTTGCAAGGTGAAATGAAATTTTATTCGTTATAACGAAGTCCTACAACGTTTTCTCTAGCAATGACTAAAATGACGTATAGTTGTTTTGAGCTGAGCCTCTCACGTGTTGGGGCGTTTAACGATCGAAAAATGTTGTTGCCGTCCCCTCTTATGACAAAAGGGCGGACATAGGAGTCTTATTAGAGTTCTATTAACAGTAATATTAGCACGGCCGAGAACCGTCAAGTTGGTTGATAGAGCGTACAAAGGTCTACGCGTGTCGAGAATTCTACGTAAAGTGGAAGGATTATTCAATTTGTGTGTTTACGTGTATGAAAGAAAACTTTAGTGGGCGACGGCTGTATTATGCAAATGAAGATAGTTCTAAAACCTTTTGATATCGCGCTCATAAAATTGACTATTTTTACTTTTTAAAGTTTGTTGAACATATTTAATTTTCTTAAGTGCACGTAGCTGTCTCTGTTGTATTGCGAATGAGCCGGAGAATTAAACCCACAGAGGGCCTATGCAAAGTTATTTTAGTTACTTAAACAGGTTACTTACTTTAGATTTTGCGTGGGGAATGAAATGACTGACGGACATACACGCCGAGTAATTACTTAGGTCTGTTGAACCGCCTGTTAGTTTGTATTTTGCTGCTATTATAACTATTTTGTTCACAAAAAACTCCCATTTTCGATGAAATGCTTAATCAAATTCGTATTTTGATCGGAAATTAAATGGGAACAAAAAGTCCTCAATCCATCAATCCTTTCTCAGTGGTTATTGTATCCTCTGTAGCATGGTTGCTTGGACAATTGGCTCTTAAAAGCGATTAGGCCGCCAATTGTACCCTTACGTAATTTTTGTTATATTTGTAATTTTCTCTGGTGAACAATATAGCATATTTCATTCATTCATTTTACGTAGAACAACGACCCAAGAATTATATAAAACAATAGTATTAGCGTCCGGGCTGAGACCGGAGTCTTCAATAGGAATACAGAACGTCCTCATCTCGCGGGCCCAAGAACAATTTTTAGAAAGTTCAATATTCAACACTTTGCAGCCTCTCTGCGAAGGCGATCTCTTTATGGAAGTGTGTCCTCGAATCGCATTCACCGGGCCTCTGAGGACCGACGGAGTGAATCATTAATGTCAGGTATTAGATTTTTATATTCGTTATTGTTGACGCTCCATAGCTCGCTGAGCGACATTGAGGTTCCTCATACGGCCAGCAGTGAAGGACCACGTCTCGGTTCCGTAGGTCATCACTGGTCATTGAGGCCATCGCGGTGTTGGACAACCCCCTACTAGATGGAGTATCGAACTATGCAGGTGGCTCGGGACCGTACTTCGTGGGAGGCCTATGTTCAGCAGTGGACTCAAACAGGCTGAAATGATGATGATGATGATGATGAATGCTGACGCTATTGTTCTATCCGATGATATTTATGCTCTCGGTCTCAAATATAGTCTATATAGCCATATAGAGCTTTGACGGACGCGGAGCCCGTAGAAAGTGTTCGACTTAGAGACGGGCTTACTGAGTAGAGAAGTTCTTAGATCTTAGATAGAAGAAGTTCTTAGATAGAAGTTCTTAGCTGCGTTCTGTCAAAATATTGATAGTGCTTTTTGAATGCCATCCGATGGTGAAATACGGCTACGGCTTCATTTTCTGCGGTCTTGAAACTAGAATCTTCAGTCTGTTTCTACTATTAGTTTTAACTATCAAATTTATATATATTACTCGCAGACTTCAAACCATCGTTTGAGATTTTAATTATTAGAAAAATATTTATTAATTGGTCTGACACTCAGATAAATTTTATCTCTGAAAACGTAATATTAGGAATAGAACCCTGATTAGTGATGGCGCGGGTAAAACGTATTACGCAATGTTGCAGTGCATTCGTCGAAATTGCATATACACCGCAACATTACAAAACACCGCGACAGTTCGTAGCAGATCGCAAATCGCTTTCGAAGAGTTGTTTTAAACTATGTCTAGCTAGTCTATGTTAGGGATGAGGCGTATATACTGGAACAGGTATAAATACCCAGTATGAACATACCAGTACGCACACCAGTACGCACACCGGGTATGTCCGGCAGAGGCCCGTTCCATACCCGATAGGTATTGCCGCCTCGTCCGACGGTGGCGGTATATACGCTCGCGACAACCCGCCCGCACACCGGGTATGACGTATGTACGGCAGAGGCCCGTTCCATACCCGCACCGATAGGTATGGCTATGGCCGCCTCGTTCGACGGTGGCGGTATATACGCTCGCGACAACCCGCCGGCCGAATAGGTAAGAAGTTCCCCGAATGCTTACGGCGGCTCTTCCCGATCATGCCCGAATTGAAACGTATGATTTAGGCATTTTATACCAAATAACTCCGTGAGATAAATTTATTCTTTGTTTCTATGACCATAAGTTAAATAAATAATTTAATTAATTAAATTGATTATTAAATTGATTAATTGATTATTAAATTAATTAATAAAAAAATTGAATTACTTTTTTTTTGATAATAGGGTTCTTTACGTTAGTAAAGATGGAGCTTATTTTAGACTGATTAAATCTCAATTTAAAAAAACTGATTGCTATAAAAACCATTTAAATGTTCCAACCAAAGGTTCAATTCGTTTGATTCGACCGCGTCTCCAAAAGGAGGCCTGAACATAACTAATACCTATAGGTATTTTGATACTGGGTTTTAGCACCGGGTATACGGCGATACCCGTACCTTTCAGGCCGGTTATAGATTATTGCAGGTATATCTCATGCCTAGTCTATGTGTGGCTCACATTTGCGCTCGAACGCAATTGCTGCAACTAGTGGGAGTTTATTTCTCTCGCATCGGTTTCGTAGAATGTAGCGGTGCTACGAAAGTACACGTAGCATGCCCTTCGTAACTACCTGTTACGGGCAGAAATAAATGTTTTCGGACACAGTAATGTATTACACACGATAGTATTTTAGTTTCACATGTAGACTAATAGTGATATGTAATTGTTTTGTGATACAAATCCTTTTTTTTATCGGTGTATTATTTTTAATTCGTCTATTCAAGCTACGTCTGTCTTTTCTTATTCTTTCCAGGTTACTAATACATGAAAAACCGCCGTGACTAGCTCTTCACGACGATGTACTGTTGTAAATAATTGAATATGTTTTTAGTATAATGTCCGTGCATATTATTTTGGCATATATTACTACTAATTGTCATCATATACAAATAAGTACCGAATTAATGATTTCAACACGAAAATCTCCGCTACAGATTTTAATTTCCGTCACACACTGAGTTAATCGATATTTTACGATGATATTCTTTATGATATTATTTATGCTTACCAACGGCGTCACTGAGTCACCATTTTTATTCCTATTACATTTAGGTATTTAATTTTCGTCTATCTGACGTTTCACATATCAAAATGTAAATAATCGCGCACAATTTGACCATCACAATATCTCAAATAAGTTACATAACATACGCTGGTGTCGCGTTTCATTTTATTATACGTAAAAATGAAAAAATTGGTACTTTTTCTCTTTCTTTCGTTATCTTTATTGGATAACGATGCAGGTCGCTCAGGATCGTGTCTCATGTCTTTGTGGTCTATGTTCAACAGTGGATTCGAACAGGCTGAAATAATGATAAATAACGATACGTCTTATAAATGTGAACGCGTGTCCGTCTTTACTGTGTATTCATTAATAACGAGACCTCTTTGACTGATTTGTTTGTGGGCGTGCCGTGAAGAGACGCGTTCCGCCGGACACGACGGTTGAGGGTACTCTGTACGCCCCTCCTCCACCTTGTGACGTCATGCAGATGGGCCCCTTTGAGATGCGAGCTCCTTTAATATGTTGTGTGCTGCAAAGTGTCCAATTATGCCTCTTCTTTGGGCTGGCTGTCGTCTCTTGCGGTGCCACCCGTGCCGTTTATATCGCGCGCTTCACGTGTCTTTAACTTTTATGGTGGTTTAAGTTTCTTAATTGAGAATTTTTCTTCGGAATAGTTTTTTTTTTAGTTTTATAACAACTAAGTTTTTTTACAGAATGTTACATTTCAAATGGTATGTATTTTACTAGTGTATGGTCCAGTTTAGTTGTGGTTTCTACAAAATATTGCATAGAGAGGAACGGAGGCCGTTTAGGTTTGAATCTTAATCGCTTGTATAATTTAGTTTTTCCGACAAACAGCACTTTATATTCTGTGCTAGGCGAAGAGACAAAATTTGTGACTAATTAAGTTGGTGAACGTGAGTAGCGATACGTCTATTTGTATCTTCGTGATCGTAACTCGAGGGAGCTTGTATTTTTATGTTAAGAAACCTTTATATGTTGCTAAAAGCAATAATTAAAAGAAATTTAAAAAGAATTTTAATAAAACAATAAATTCGAAATATTAATATTCTGTATACTTATATCACAGGTGATAAAAGAATCCAATTCTCATAAACCGTTACACTGCCCATTAATAATACTGTCAGTACACATATACATAATTACATACACAAACACTGTAAGCCTTTTCCTCATGTCATATGTACAAATGCACGAACATGTCACGCTCCGCAACCCACGTCCCTGTCCGCGCACCCCCATCGCACGCACGCACGCACGTCACGTCACGTCGTGTCACGTCATTTCATGCCATGTAAGCAGCTTTCGTGCGGGCGACAGGAGGGAACGATCGATGCGTTCCCATGTGTATGTTATGTATTTCCATAGCTCGAATCCGATGGCCGGACATTTCGGTGCCATCTACATTTTAAACCGCGCCGTGTCATGACTAGTGTACACGCGTGACCATATTCTTGGTCATCAAAAGCTCGTAAGACTTTCTTTCTTACCTTGGTAACCGTCCACGGTGGCATTGATTGACGACTCACGCTTGGCCGTTTTCACTACGCTGGAAGGGCGACGCTATATATTTTTATTTTTATTTCATGTGGGCCCCGGTTACCTCACTCACCGGACTAAACCTAATAGTGTGACACTACCAATTCACGTCAGTCTTCCGTCAGGTCGTGCTACTTCTGTTGCGTCGCCCTACCACTGTAAAAGTGTTAAATGTTTCTTTTACTAATTTTATGGAATTACATTGGTTTTTGACTCCTGGTATCGGTAGTGAATAAAAATTCGTAAAGTTATCGGACGCTAGCCTTCTTTAATCAGGACGACATGACCACCAACCTTTAAACTATTTACAAATAAATCCGATTGATTCAAGTAATAAGTCGCGATTAATTCAAGTAATTCAACGGTGGTAGGGCCACGCAGCAGCCTCGGCTGTTGCACGAATGGGCAGGCTCGTCTGGGTAAGTACCACGACCTCACAGAAGACCGGCGTAAAGTGGAAGTATAATACTTTCGCGTTTCGTCTGGTGAGTGAGGTGGCCAGAGCCCAGTTTTCAAAAGGTTGTCAACGCATCTGGAACCCTCGGGTGTTGCAGACGTCCATGGGCGGCGGTATTCACTTAACATCAGGTGAACCGTCTGCTCGCTTGGCAACTTTTCACATTAAAAAAAGTAAAAATGCGTTTAACTGAAATCTCTTGTTCTATATAAATATCTTTGAAAATTAATCTACTCAATTTCATCTCTAAGAATTTTCAGATAGTGTGATATCAAAGTTTCGATCGATTAACGAAGATTAGCTGGCCCAATTGCTAAGCTATTGGCTTCGGCGCCGCGGTTCACAGATGATTTTTCCGGATGCGGGTGTTTGTCCCCAACGAGTGTTGTCGTCAGACATGCGGCCAGTCGTAAAAACCCTGGTCAAAACCACTGAGAACATGCATGTGGGACGCGGAGGCAGGAGAATGATGATGGATCGGCCAAAGTAATAGTGTTGTACCCCGGACGACTATTTGCTCAAACATAAATCCGCAGAAATCTTAAACACAGTGACAGTTGTCTTGTCTTTTGACTGTGGATAATTTACAGCATTCGAAACGTTGTTAGAGATTTAATGAAGGGAAATTCGTAGCATAGTTACATTTACTTGGAAATACTTATTTCACCCGTGATTATTTTTCGAAAGGTTTTATTTTTAAAAATTGTAAATATCTATTTTTATGAAAGCATTGTATTAAATCTAAATGTAAATCTTACTTTATTAATTAAATATCTTAATACTAAAGATATGTAATTAAAAAAGTAGGTAAATATCTTTAGTATTATTATTTAGTAGTATAATTATTTTGTAGTAAAATTATCTTGTGGCGACTTCAGCACAATCATAAATATAGCTGTGATACTGCGTTACTGCATTCAAAAGTTTTAAACAAAGACATGAACTAAACGGCACTATTTGAAATCGATGTTAAGTTCGCGATTAATTTATTTGTGCTAATTGTCCAATAAGTAGTTTAGGAAGAGCTTTTCTAATCTCAATTTAAATTAGATGTCTAAATTGGTGTCACAAATTCTAAAGTTCATTGATGAAATAACATATTTTTTTTAAAAGTCACAAGTTCAGGAGATGAAAATTGAAATGTGTCCAGAGTATTCGTGTTTGGTGTATTACTTGTTTTTGTATTTGTATAAGTGTGTGTCGGTCGTGTTTGTTATCTTAATTATTTTGACGGCGTTATCTCTGCTATCTTATATGAAGAGTGAAAGGGGCACCATATATTTTATCCGATATGAATAATCTGTAAACGTTAAAATATTTAAACAAAGATTGAGCACCTTGTGAAAGCCGGTTCTGAATACGTTTCTTGTTTCAGTTATTCCTAATTTTTATAGTTTATCGTTAGATTCTATCGCTTGCGATCTTATATAGATGTCTGTTCCGTTACTATGGACGATGATAATCATCGCTAAACCCCAAAGCCGATAAGTATTTTCATTAATCTTTATTATCTTATTCAAATCGCAATTTTCAATAGATTAATAATAATTATCTAATATCGTATTAATGTTAAAACAATGACATAACAAGATTTTCTACGGACAAGTTAATCACCCCTAGTACAGGAGATTGAATCGATACTAAGCCAATTGATTGGTCGGCGAAATTCGGTTCGTTATATGTATCGGTCAGATGAAACCGTCAACAATTTTTTTATGTGAGAAGATGGCAAGCGATAGCTGGTGGTTCACCTGATGTTAAGCCGCCCATTAACATTTGCAACACCCGTAGTTAGATGCGTCGCCACCTTTTAATAAACACTTCTACTTCACGCCGGTCTTCTGTGAGGTCGTGGTGGTTACGCGGACCTGCCGATTCGGTCAACAGTGAACACTATTGCGTGGCCCTACCATAGTTAATTCGGAATGCGAATTATTTGGAATATATTGGTGTGGTTTTATCTCGCACGCGGGGTCGTCAGTGATCGCGGGCTATGCGTCATCCGCCCCGCGACTCGAACGCGCTCCTTTTGACCCGAGACAACAGATGCTATCGCAACAGCACTTGACCGCGTGACACTGGCGGCATGCTAATTGGCGCCGTTGTCTCGTCCGCGCGAGGCTTTAAAAAAAAAAACTCACCGGTCATGCAGTGTCATGTTACAGCACGCGCGATACTTTAATGCGCCTCTGAATTAAGCCCAAAGCCATTCGACAGGTTCGAATCCAGATGGCGGCGAAAAATCTTGTGCTAGTTTTACCTTTTTTTTATGTGAAAAGTTGCCAAGCGAGCAGGTTCGATGTTAAGTGAATACCGCCGCCCATGGACATCTGCTACACCCGAGGGGAACCCAGATGCATTGACAACCTTTTGTAAATTAGGTTCCGGCTACCGGCTATGTTTCGTCTTTCGTGAATGATCACGAAAGACGAAACGCGAAAGTATTGTACTTCCACTTCATGCCGGTCTTCTGTGAGGTCGTGGTACTTACCCGGACGAGCCTGCCCATTCGTGCAACAGTGAACACTGTTGCGTGGCCCCACCACATTCTAAACTTCTTATTTACGGTAATAAACACATACAAATTTTAAATTATATTTCTGTCATAATATATTTTCACATGTTCTCTATTCATGTGTATTTTCTTATTTATCATACTGAAAAATTATTGTATACTTCTTTTCATGCCATCTTGCAATAATTTATCGGCTTCTCTTACGTCTTAAGATATCTCGTCTGAAGAGTGTTACTTACATAACATCACTCCTAAGATAGTTGACAGTTCAAAATCGGATGTCACCATCGTGTACCTATGTTGTTTATCGCCGATGATAAATCTGATGATGCATGAAGTAATTTTATTACGCATTGCAGTTTGGTGGATTGTGATTAGATAAGATCTAGTTCAGGCTAGTTTCCGTTACTTTGAAGTTAGTTTGAATCATTTTACGTACCTACATAATCACATTTTAACAATACAAAGGCTATATAATGGATGTTATCATACGTGTTTTTTGGGGAACCTGTGGTTTTATACCTTCATGTGTCATGTGGAAATATCAAGTAACCGACTGTTGTTTTTGAATTATGACTTATTGAATTTAATGTATCACATATGTAAGACGAACATGCAATAACAAAAGTGACATTTCTCTAGCTTCAAAAATTAATTGTAAGAGATTTCATTTGGGAAATTGTGTTTGCAACCAACAAAGGTGTCACAATAGATGGCGCCAAGCATTGCTAAAATGCAATGAAAGCAAAGTAGATAAGACGAGATTTTCGCTCGGTGAGGATGTCAACAGGTTTTACATATTTAGGCTAGAGCATTTAGGTGAGAGAGATAGAGGTGTGTTACCCGCAGGTTCGAATCCTTGCAACGCCGTTTTGTTTTTTTAGACAATATATCTACTCTTTTTGTACGTTATTTTAATAGTTTGGAGAGTAGTAGTAGGAGTTGTAGTTTTAATGGTTTGCCTTTAAAATACCCCGTAACCTTAACACCTCGAGAGAATTCGTTTGTGAAAATAACTTTTTAGTACTCCTTTTTTTTACCTCCTTTTCCATATATGATTTTGTGCGATTCTAATCATATAATAGATATTACCCCCGTTTTAATGTGTACCAAAAAGGTATTAAAATTTTTTGCGATTTTGACATGAGAACAGATTATCCCATAATTAGTAGGTATCCATTAAGAAATTTAAGATGAAATGTTTGATCGAAGATAATTCAAATTAATTATCATATTATTAAAATTATCTTTATTTAATTATGTTGAATATCATGTGCTCATCGGTGAAAGAAAACATCGTGAGGAAACCTGTATATTTTAGAAATAATAACAAAAAAAATATATATATTTCGAAGATATGTGAAGTCCGCCAATCCGCAGTGGGGTTGAGTGGTGCATTTAGGGCACAGTCCACCCTCTGTTCAGAGAAGGCCTTTGCCCAACTGTGGGACGTATATGAGCTTTCACTTTACTTTTTTTAGGCTAAATAAATTCGTTTATCTTAAACACACAACACCATAAAACATAGGGTAACTTACGAATAGCTTCGCGATCGACAAATTTTTCCGCTATCTCTCGATAAGCTTGCATCCCCACTCGTGTTATTCAACTTGTTGTGTTGTCGGCAGCGTGGTGCCAATGGAGAAGGCGAAGGCGTACATAAAGAGCTCGCTGGGCGCCAGCAAGCCGTCGTCGCCGGCGGCCGACTGCGAGCCGCGCGTCTGCTTCGTGTGCGGCGGCGCAGGCCTAGGCGACTGTTACACCGTGCGCGTGAAGCCCGAGCCGCAGGTGAGACGGTCGCGAAACGGCCACCGCCCACGGTGTGAGCGGCGGTCGGGGATACGGAGGAGACGGGAGAAAGAGAGGTCGTGACGAGCGGGCTTGCTTTTCACCTGATGTTAAGTGATAACCGCCGCCCATTGGCTTATGCAACTCAACTTATAATAAAGTGGGACCCCGGCTACCTCGTTAACCAGACGGAACGTACCTTCTACGAAGGTGTGAGGTTGTGGTACTTACCTGAACGTACCAGCCCGTTCGTGCAGGAGTCTTACATTTAAATATGTATTAGTGAGAAATTGTGGCCGAAATAAATTTCAAGCTAGCATAGAGATGCAATCTGACTTACTTGAAAAACACGAATAGGTGCGTGCATGTGCAGGTAATTAAGATGGATTTCGTAATTGACAGCTAATTGCTGTCAAAGTAGGTGTCTATAACTAAAGGTTGGTTGAACTCTAAGTCTGATTTGTTTATGAATTAGCAACTTCTTGGATACAGAAGTTGCTAATTCATAAACAAATCAGACTAGGTCCTGGAAGGTACTCTTAACAATTGTACAAGTACTAAAAGAAATTCGTAAGCAAATTAAGTTTCGAAGTGGAACTGAAGTTGCCGCTACGCAAAGTTGAGAACTGCGCGGTCGGCACCCGCTCACGTTGCCAGAGGATGCGGTCGAGTACAACTCTCTGGCACGCTCAGACTTGGCACGGGTGCGGCGAAAAACTCGGTTCGATCGCGGGTTTCACTTGAGCGACTCTCAGTTCTTTGATAGATTTTTCATTTAAATTTGGTATATATTATAAAAGATTAATGAATGTGGAATATATAAAATAAGAGAAGTTATATGTTCTACTGCTGATTTTATGCTAATATTATTAGTTTCACGCATGTTAATATAATTGTTCGCTGTTCATGTGCACCTTTTAGAGATATCGACATCTTGTGTTGTAGGGACTCCACTACAAACTTCCATTACTGAAGGGTTATATAAAAAAAGAACAGCATAAAGGTCTACGCTATAGACGTAATTCTACAGATGTCAATTATTATCCTCGCTTCCCGTTCCTATCGGCTAGCGAACAAACATTATTAGGTGCTCTATGTTTAATCTCCAGGAGTCGAACCCTTTAAATTCTGGTCCTAGATCCATTAAAAACTGTAATTATTTTCTATCATGAGGTTCTCGCGATGTGCGAACCTTTTCAAAAAGTGGGGCCCCGGTTACCGGTTACTAACGTGTAAAGTGATAACCGCCGCTCATTGACATTTCCAACACGCATAGGGTTTTTAGATGCTTTGCCACCTTTCAATAAAATCGGCCCCGGCTACCTTAACCACCACCCGTAGTAGTGTGAGCTTTATTTCCTTTTTATTGTGAAAAGTTGTCAAGTGAGCAGGCTATGAACATCTACAACACCTGATGGCCTTTAAGATGCGTTGACGCAGGCTACCACACTCGCCAGACTATACGCGAAAGTTTAACGCTTGCCCTGTACGCCGATCATGTTTAAGGCTCTCCTTCTGCGTGCCGCTCTTCTATGGGGCCCTTCATCTTCTCGGGACGCGTGCGCTTTATCAGATTGTCGGTCCCTAGAGCTCGGAGCCGTACTTCCCGTTCCTGGGGGCGCACCCGCCGCCCGCCGGGTACCGCGCCGACGGCGACCTCGACGGCACCGTCCGCTGCTGCTGCGTGTGCTACACGTTCCTGCGCCAGCAGTGGGAGCAGTACGACCGCGAGAACAAGCCCCACGGGCAGCGGTTCTACTGGATGAAGAGGCTCGACGGCAAGCCCTTCATAGGTGAGTGGTCTCCTTCTTAATTCCTCGTTGCTCCTCCTCGTCCCCACAGGGGGCTCTGGGTTGCGTACGCTTACGGTGTCTCCCGCGTTCTTGTAAAGCAGTTTTTTTTTTAATTATATGTTAATTTCAGTCTGAAATCATTGCACTAATCCTTTGTTAGTATTTGATTTAATCTAATTGTTTTTTTAGCTGTTGACAATATACGTTTTGAATGTCGTATCACCTTTGATTGAGATATTATTTAGTTATGTTTTGATGTGTATTTTGTTGGTGCAGTAAATTAATAAATGGCTACGATCGCGATCATGTGCAATGTATTGCCAATCAGTTCGATCATGTGATTCGTGGATAGCCCGATACATGCTACCCATTGGGCATTTCACAGCGTTAGACCTTGCATGCTCACTGTTCTGAGCACGTTTACCAACGATTTAGCCCAAGACCAATCCAACCAAACGCGTACCGAGCTTAGTGGGTTATAGCCATCGCGCGATTCCTGCGTTGAGTCTAGATGGTGCATTATAAAAAATAAACTCTAATTAAGCTCTAATTAGGATTAATATGGAAGAGAAGAATGTTTAGAATCTGTTAATAAATGACGGGGGTCTGAGGTAACAAACATAAAAAACAATACAAACGAAATACTTAGGTCCCATGTCAAAATAATGCATATTTCGCTGTATAATGCATCTGAAAACGTTCACGTGCAAAAAATGGTGTATTTTTAGTATAGTTATTAATTTATCATTTGTATAATAATGGTGCGGTTAACAATTTCCAATTCTTTTGATAAGACTGTGCCAGTGCGAATTTTTCGCAAACCACCGTGATTTATATTTTAAGGTTATCAAAAGATTGAATCATCTTTATTGTTTACGCTTTCTTAAGTCTCTTAATGAAACGTTAATTTAAAAGTAATATTTTTTTATCAGTTGCGGAGAATATAACATTTAATATGATATTTGATGAGTTTTGAGAACTATATGATGATTAGATGCAGCATTACTTGTATTCTCTGTCTTTCACAACGTTCCACCAATTGTCGTAAATTTCTTTTATGCGTATACTAGCGGACCTGATAGGCGTTGCCTAGTTGCCGTTTATGTCTAGAATTTAATAAACTCTGTATATCATATATAACATTATTTATGTCTAGAATTAAAAACTCTGTATATCCCCCCCCCCCCCCCCCCACTACACGTATATAAATATCACGAGCAGTCGGTCTGATTCTATGCGTGCGTATCTTGCACAGTGCAGATTTATTGGAAAAAGGTTTAGAACGATACGAAGGAAAGAACAATGTGCAGTGGAAGGCGGAACCCGACCCGATATAATTACACTTCTTTTCCATGGGAGAGGATGGAAAACCTATATAAGTCAGCCTACATTTTACTCCAACAGCGTCACCATTTTTGTTTGCATTTGCAATTTCAATTCATTCTTATAAAAGTCGATAAGAAATATTTTGTTCTTTAGAGACTCATTAACAATTAACGAAATTGAAACATTTATTTGTAGGTCGTATAAAGAATTTAACCGGATTGATGATAGAGTCTAAGACCCATAGCTCAGAAGTCTAACAAGTTAAAGAAGTTCAACAATACGTTATACCTTTCTAACCTTAATTAATATTATATTATATTCGTTAACGCCTCGTCTGTGTTTTAACTATGTAGTCCTGCTTTGACTACATAGTTAAAACACAGACGAGGCGTTAACTTCATATAATTTTGATCGAAGGTCACTTCAGGTAAGTTACTTTGATCAATTAATAATGCTCGATAGCACAAGTGCCACGGCCTCACGCAAACGGTATTGAAATTAAAAAAAAACTGAATTTTCGTTTCCTCCGAAGTGTTTTGAGTGTTTATGGGCGGATGCCATCATCAGTTGCGATGTCTTTGAAATAAAAAAAAACAATCCGCCTTCAAACTATGGTTCTGTAATGATTAAAGTGTTCCGATATCTTCAGATCACGTTCAAAGCATAGGCGGGTGTAGTGTGCTCTATACATTACATGTCGAGGCGCACTCAAAGACCCGGCCACGTAATCCCGCCAGGACGTTTCCCACGCCGGAGACGAGCAGATCCCGTGCTTATCGCCGCCACAATTTTTCCCCATTTCTAGACGTTTCGACGTCCAATGTAAGATTTCTAAAATCGTCCGTTTTATTTGTCAACGTTTATCCATTGGGAGTGATAGAACTGAGGTGGTTGGTAAAATTTTATACAGCTTTGATATTTTGAGAACAGTACATAGATCAAGGATTCACACAAGCTCATTAGCGATCTATCATCGCCCCGCCTTGAGCTGTTTTTTATGTGAAAACTTGTCAAACGAGCTGCCGGTTCGCCTTATGTTAAATGATACAACATCTAGATAACCTGAATGGTTGCAGATGCGCTGCCGACCTTTAAAAGATGGAGCCCGGCTACCTCACGCCGATCTTCTGTGAGGCCATGGTTCTTACCCGGATGCGCATTCGTGTAACAACCACTGTAACAACTAATCACTTCTGTAACAACTAATAATGACTGCTAACTTGGGTGTTTAGGTTAAAAGAAGTGACTAACACAAGTCTCAGACGAGAAAGAACGTTATGTAAATGCTATTCTTAAGAAAAGAGTTGTTATCGGAAGTATTGTGTTGTAAAATATATTATGGTTTTTACGTAAACTGGCTAACTAATGATGATTTTCCTTTCCTTGTAGGTAAGACTAGAATAAGACAGGCTATAATTTATATACATATTTTCATGTATATCAATTTATCTTCGTCTTTCGTCTTTCCGTCTGAATGTTACGCCTACAGCCTATTCTACGGACATAGTCACAGACGTAGTCGCAGGCAGTAGCTAGTTATTTATAAAAACGGCAAAGAAATCATGTCTGTTGTATGGGAACCCCACTTAGATGTGGTTTTATTTTGTTTTTTAGCGGCAACATAAATACATCATCTGTGAAAAGTTCAACCAGCTTATTATCATGGTTCATGTGATACAGCCTGGTGATTGAAGGACAGATAGACACACAGGCAGACAGACAGCGGAGTCTTAGTAATAGGGTATAGAGGAGGCCTTTGTACAGCAGTGGGACATGTATAGGCTGTTATTTACCTTTTTTTTAAACCCTAAAAAACAAATAAGGGATAGTTTCAAGCGACGGGTGGCAACTAGTGTTTATTATTATTCCAAATGCTATCTCTAACGTGCCCGTTTCATATGTTAAATTTTTTAATGTTAATTACAAACTTTCTTCATGCACAACGCATCTAGAACGGTTCCATTCGTTGTCAAGTGTTACCAGATCATTTGATAGTAACAGTTGAACGTATATTGTTAGCTGTTTAATATTTATAATCCTTATAACAAATAGGGTTCCTTATAACAAATTGAGTTAACTCTCATCTGAAAAACTGTTATAAAAAGTAGCGTCGTTATTGTTCTGTTTAAAAGCTAGGTTCTGACTTTTACAGTGAAAGATAACAGATCTTCAAATATTATTTTTGCGCTTTTGGTTAATTTTTTTAAACTAATAAAAAAGTATACTGCAAACTGCTTTCGACTTATCGAAGTTTTGGACTGTATCCAAACATCTATCATCAGATAATATCTTTTAATGTACTCAATAAGGAATTGGAAACTAACAATTTCGGAGATTTAAAATTAATATTAAATCTTTATTCAAACATTAGCTGTATTTCACTGTTAGCTTGTTCACAATTAATCATTATAAAACCCGTACGGAACCCTATATGCGGTTCACCTGTGTGTTTCTTTTTCCACTAATTTCATATTCATCGCATTCTCGTTGTAAATAATACGCGCACGATCGCGTTAAAGGAGCTGTAATCGTAAAGTTGGCATCGAGACAGATGTCGGTTTTTTCGCCACTCAATACTCTCGGCCAACACTCTGATATCGTTTCGTACCTAGCGCGGCGAACGTTAAATAATATCTCATTCATAAAACATCGATCGGTCGCCGTGTGTAGTGCGCCTTAAAGTAAACAGCCCGCAAGTGTCCCACTGTTGGGCGAATACCTCCTCTGTACGGAGGGTATTGGATAGTCAACGACGCGACTCCATTGCGGATTGGCGGACTCCTCCATGTGTGCAGATTTCCCCACGATGTTTTCCTTCACCGCTGAGCTCGTGACAAGTCAGCATTTAAGTTGCAACTAACAATTTCATTGGTACTGAAGCCGGGATTTGAACTGTAGTTTAGTGCGGTTGGTGCATAGGAATAGCCTCGTGGCAGTGGTGGCGCGGCGTGATTCCACGACTCGACGGCTTTGGTATGTGACTTGAAAGACCTCTTTTATATGTTCGTTATTATTAGTAGAGGAATAATTTTTTTTTGACGCGGCAGACACTTGTGTTGCACGAATGGGCAGGCTCGTTCGAGGAAGTACCACTGACTTTCAGAAGAGTGACGTAAAGTTGAAGTTTTTTACTTTCGCTGTTCGTCTGGCGAGCGAGGTAACCAGGTAACTTCTTCAATAGGTTATCAGCCAGATGTTGATGGTGTTCATGGGCGGCGGTAGTCACTTAACATCAGGTGAACCGCCTACTCGCTTGCCAACTTACAAAAAGAGCTATGTTAGGTATCTAGTCCCAAACTGAACAAAGCTTCCTTTATGGGTACCAGGTAATTGATAAACATATTTAAACATATTTTTGTAAATAAATACGTAACTTTTATAAATAAATACGTGTTGTAACTGTTTTATGACTCCGTGGCGCAGTTGCCAATGTATTTGCTTCGGCGTCGGTGGTCGTGGGTTCGATTCCCACACGGGACAAGTATTTGTGTGACCCATAGATAGTTCTTTCGCATCTGGGTGTTTGTCCGTGTGAAATTTATGTTTGTAAAATTCACGTTCATCACAAAATATTTTTCAGTGGTGGAAATTTTGCGGATCCCTCCTAAAGTAAACGCACACATAACTTAGTATATGTTGTCGTTTCGTTGTTTAAAGACAACACAGCGTTTTAT